TTGTCCCCGAGACGGATATTCTGAAGGAGGAGGTCACGCACCTGTTGGGACTCGACAACGGTGGCCAACAGGTTATTGGCACCGTCCCGGTTGAGTTTCCCGGGAAATTTGAGCTGCAAAAGGTCCAGAGCAAGTTTGCCCTGCCCATGCCCGGTCCGCGCGGGGGCCATGTCGCCGATGACGATCGATGAAACAAGCTCTGGATGTTCAAGCGCCAAAAGCATCGCGACCTTGCCACCCATCGAGTGTCCCATGACAGCAGCCGGGGCTGCGTGATGCGCCCTTAATGTCTCTGCTACATCTTCGGCCATGGACTGGATGTCGCCCGGCCCGTGAGGACTGTCTCCATGATTGCGCAGATCAAGCGCAAGCGTGCGCCTGTTTTCTGCGATCCGTCTCTGAAAAAATCCGAGGTTACGTGCGCGGCCATATAGTCCGTGCAGAAATACGACCGGGGGTCGTCTATTTTCGGCTTCAGGTTTGCGTTCTATGACGTTGAGCAGCACGGTGCACGAAAACTCCGTAAGAGGGGAGAGGGGACATGGTCCACTTTTAAACNGTTCAAAACAAGTCGAATTGCGTTCACGAGGGAAGTTCTTTCCCCGCCTGCGCCAAAAGGATCAACAGTCATGACGTCGAAAGCGCCTCCGGTGGAATTCTCAGCGCGACGGTTTCTGGCGCCGCTTTTCCTGCGTGCGTTGGTCCGGCGGGACGAGATCTGGCTGGTTGTACTCTCCATTGCAATTGGAGCGTTAGCGGGTTTATGCGTCTGGATCATTTCCGTGACAACGCGTCTGGCCCATAAAATACTCTTCAATATTCCGGGAGAGGGACGTCTGTCCGGGGTTGAGTGGCTTTCAGTATGGCGGGTGCTGCTTGTTCCGATACTGGGCGGGCTCGTTTATGGTCTTTTCACAAACTATATCGGTAAGAGGCGTGCCAACCAGCCTGTTGATCCGATTGAAGCCAATGCGCTCCACGGTGGGCGCATGTCTGTCCGTGACAGCCTGGTGGTCGCGTTTCAGACGTTTCTCTCTAATGGGTGC